GCAGTTGTCGAACGAGCCAGGAAGTTGGGAACACGAGATTCACAAGACAACAAATCTGCAGCAGATTTTTAAAGGTACCGTAATAAGCATCGTAAAGCGTTACATTCGTGCAATAGACGTTAAGCATAGTCCTTGAAACAATATTCCTGTATTCCTGATGGTTAAGAAGTGTATTAGAACTATACTTACCTTAATTTATAATAAATCCTAGATATATCTATACCCAGACCGGGAAGCGTTGGGAATGGTTTGTCGGGTTGATGATTTGTCTAAACGTTCGTATTTAAAACGTTTGAAACATTAAATGCAGGTCACATGTTGTGAACATATGTCTTTGTCCTGCAACAGCTTAAATTTTATGTTTATGTGTGCGGGCTTTTTACGATTTTAAAATTCAGTGTTTTTTGCTGGTATGAAATTGTATCACAATGTGCGTGTACTGTACATAGTTTTCAATTCTTATAGGCCTATTTAATCAAATGGTTCGTATTTCATTCTTAAGACTCAATCGTTAATTATTATGCAGGAAATGGTTTAATCTCTTACACTTTTATAAGGATAACAAAATGGGACAAAGTTCACATAATTTTTTGCTCATTCAATACCGATGATAATAAATTTAACAGGGTAATATTATTGTCAGCGCTCACAGTTGTATGAAAACTGCAGTTAACTTAAATGTTGCAACCTATATCATCATTGTTATTTATACAGCGGGGGATAGCGGGGCCTGGCCTAATTGTTTTAGTATTGAATTATTAATGATAAATATTTTGTTGGTGCCTCTGAAAGTTATTCATAACCATGGACCTTCTTATTGACCCATGTGGTAATTATTGTGTGTGGCTGGCTCACAGCTGTCTCTTATACACATCATAATTATATCTACCCTTGTCATATTTTCTTAAAACATAACATTCGTTTAAATATTTTTGTCTTGCCATATTATTGTATGTACATAAAATCAATATTTTCTTATTTATATGAGTAGCAATTATTTCAGTACTGTATTTTATTTTGTAGCTCTCTGTTTAGTACCTGAGTATATTTTTTCTTTAAAGTTTAAACTTACATAGGGGCCAATCACAATTGTAAACATAGTGTATTAAAAGTGTACTCTTTTTTGCCACCTCAACCCCTTTAAAAATTGTATATTCATGGAAAATGTTGATTTTGCAATACTGTTCCCTATGGCCTTTTTTCAATGGGTACATAGACTGTCTCTTATACACATCTAGATGTGTATAAGAGACAGATATTTTGTTTGTGCCTCTGAAAGTTATTCATAACCATGGACCTTCTTATTCACCCATCTGGTAATTATTGTGTTTGACTGGCTCACAGGCCCCCATCCTGCATTTGTATTGTTTTTAATTGGTTTTGCTGTCTATGTAAATTGTTTTTGTAATCATTTATTCAATTTTTAATTAATGTGTTTTTATATGCCTTTTTTAAGTCTTTTTTTTTTTTTTTTTTTTTTTTTGTGAATTTCTTGAATATTTGTGTTCTGTTTTAAAATTTTTAAGCAATTATTGTAATCCATTCACATACAGCCTTTTGACTGTCTGTTTGTAATTTTAATATATATTTTCATCTGAATGAATGAATAAAGACCTTGAATGTAATGAAATCTTATTGAATATGGATTCTTCAGGAAATACACACTTACACACTTAAGGCCTGTTTGCACTATGACGATAACGATCAACGATAAAAAGATAGAAATCAATTGTTCAGGGCTATAGAAAAATAAAAATAAGAGAAGTTTCCACATTAGCACGATTCGGTAACGATTTATCGTGTAGGCCTATATGATAGAAAAAAAATATTTTTACAACTCAAATCAAATGACGTCATAATCATGAGAAAACGATAAAAAATTTCCGCTTAGCCCCGCCCTTTGGCCTGTTGCTAAGATCCCTCAAAACCTGAGTGTTAAAACATAATTATGCTAACACGTGCGTTTGTGGAACAACACGTGCTTTTTAGACGCGTGCGTGTTCCTGGAACTGTTCTGATTGGTCAGTTGTTAAGTTTGATTGACACTCCGGAAAGGGTTATTTCTAAAGCTCTGTCCACACTATCAAATTTTATGTGACAATAATGTGATATGCCCATATTTGGATGTGATATGGCATCATCATACCCATGGGTACATCACATAAATTTGTTACATAATTTTTGATAGTGCATGCGAACAACATCCTTTCCCATCAGTGTGAAAGTGATCTTACCATTTTTGATAATAATTTTCCTATTGAAAACACAAAAAGAGCGCCACACTATTTTTAAATTTTGAGTTTTGCTCCTGATCGTCATTTACTGTTACCCATTTTGTGTTCAATTTATCGTCACATTTCACTCACTGTAGTTTTTGTACTTCAGTGCATGAATATTTTGCTATGCCTTAGGAATACAGTGGAAACAGTGCGTAGCCCACCGAATTAAATAAGTTTTAAGTCTGAGATAGATTCGATTGGGTTAATTGCCTTGCAAATTCGGGGAGATGGAGAGGAGTATTATTCAATCTTAGCTTTTTCTGCTTGGCAACAAAGTCCTACGCCATAAGCGCGACTGCCGTTGCGCAAAGACTGCACGCGCGTGTACTTACGAATGCTACCTTGACAACAATCTTGCAACATTACTAGAGCATTAATTGCTGAGAAACGAAGATACACTTACAGTATAAAATTATTATCATTATCATATCAGGACTGATCATTATTATCCCAGACGTGACCGTATCAATTTTTATTGCACTTTGCTATGCAACACGAAAGGTGAGTTAGACACGAGTAGGCCTGTATAACGTAAACTGTATATAACGTACCAAAATATATTTACAAGTTGTTTTCAGATTAGCGATGCAACAAACAAATTTGTTCTTCACCATTATAGGGAAACATATATGAAAATGTGTAAACTAGCGAAAAACTTGCTTTTCTCTGTGCCTCATTGAAAGTTGCTAACGCAAGAACTAGCAAGTGTAAAATGAGCACAAGCCTATATAATTATTTTAAATCATTTCTTTCATAATGTGAATGTAGATTTTTATAGGTCTAGCGAAATATGGTACCCGTTGTTAGGCTATTTCCTCGATTAAATATAAGCTTGTGTTGTTAAACATGCATAAATCAGAGACAATGTTATTAATAATTCACATTCTTATTTCTTCTTAGCGTACGTTCAAACTTAGAATCTCAACGACGTGGAGAAGTTAGGCGCATTGGCGAAAATTCGAAGTGCAGTACACTTGCATTACTATGGTTCGGAGGTTTATTAACTTTAGTTGGCGTCACTTGCACAACGTATCATTTCCTTCATGCTAGGAAAATAGAACATGCACCTATTTGCCCAACTAGTCCATCGGAAATATTGGAAGCTTCCGATAAATGCATCGACAAAGCCACCGAAGAAACATACGCCCGTTTATTTCAAGTGCTCGGCTACACAACCCTGTCATTCGGGCTTATTCTTGTTGTATTCACCTTAAAAACAAACGGTTATTTAACTTGTATAATCTGTTCCCGACGAAAAGGAGCGGCGGTAAATCCTAATGTTGTTGAACAACGGCAGCGGAGCGGTAATCCCGCCGATGCACCAGCCGTCTCCCCGTGGAGGACATTGCCAGCATGTGAATACTATGAGAGGTCTGAAATAGAAGCTACGAAATGTATACGTGGATACAATTACAATCTTACAAAAATGCTTCAGTTCACGGACTTGTAACATGTGTAGGCCTAGTCAGAAACTATATTAGGCCCGAACTTTTCAACCGGGATATGTCGTCGCTCGAGCTACCTGTTACATCTTACCAGCTATATTATAAGGATTCTAATCATCAATCAATAATAATATGAATTTTATGTTTGTGTGTGTGTGTTTTTAAAAAAAAAATAAATGATGGAATCACCTCAAGAGTTCAAATACTGTGTAAATTAATTTGGTTCAAATCAATCAAAACTATGGCAAGTATCACAGAAAACTCCAAATCAATTTCGAAATACCGGCGGTAAGCTTAAGTCATAGAATAACTCAAGACACCTCAATTAAAACCTTAAACATTTTAACTACAAAAAAAAAAAATAAATAAATAGGGTTTCTAATGAATTACCGGTACATACTTTTATTTTTAAATTTGCTAAAATCATACAAATCTACAGAAATCTTTATTAATTTGTTACATACAGTATTTCCAGATTGCTTTTCTCGTCTATTTATTATTATTATTATTATTATTATTATTATTATTATTATTATTATTATTATTATTATTATTATTATTATTATTATTATTATTATTATCATTATTATTATCATCATCATCATTATTATTATTATTATTATTATTATTATTATTATTATTATTGTCCGTTGTCTAATAAAATAAGCTGAAACTGAATTGAAACTCGTACTCAGTTGAAAGCTAAAAACTTATTGAAATATACAAATTATCCAATTACATTTATTTATATTTACGTTTTTTACAATCATTGTGGTTTCTTAGTCTTATTCTCAGTCTATTATTTACTTGGTCACTCGTTATTTGTATGTTGATTTTTATTTTTGCTAGAATAATACGTTTGATATTACAGATTTAATGAATTAAAATAATAATATGGAGACACACTTAAATTAATTATTATAGTGATTGCGATAATTGTGTCCTAATGGCATGTGAAAGCTATTTACTGATTACGCAAACTCTTGGTTTTGTAGATCCTAAACAAAATATATGAGGCCTATTAAATTAAAAAAAATATTTATCGAAAACATAAGGCCTAAAGCTCTGTCTATACTATCAAATTTTGTGTGACAAAAAAGTGTGGTATGCCCATATATGGGCATGATGACATCATAGCATGACCATATATAGGCATAGCATTACTATATATGGGCTTGTCACAAATTTTGAAAATTTGATAGTGTGGATAGCTTTTAAGTTGATTGATTGCACTTTTGTATCTAGCCCCCTCTACGGCATTATCTGGGCGTGTGTGTGTTTGAGTCACTGGTTGGAGCAAAGCTAAGATAGTCGCTCCGATCATCCGCCGCCGCTGCTCTGTTGGCCATCAACGTATGCCTAGCTAGCCTAGGCCTAGAGCCATGGAACTTCCAGATACATTTTACAATAAAGCCGAGTACATTGAAACCGTAAGTTAGTATTTATATAGTATTGGTATTGTTATATTTCTTGCAGTTACTGTTTTAATGAAAACAATCATGCACAAACCCCTGCTGCAGCTCAGAACGGAGCGAAAGACTAGGCCGAGCCTAGGCGGCTAGGCCTAGACCTAGCCTAGGCCTAGTCCTACTCTCCTAAAGCTAGGCCTAGCATAATATAATCCGGACTACCTCCCGCCCAAGGCTAGCCCATAGCCTGGCTGCTCTCGGCCTGGCTAGGCTCGGCCTAGCCTAGTGTAGTAGTAGGTATCCGCCCAGTTGGTCGAAATCCAGTTTGCCAAGTTTAGTTTAGCGATTAAAAAAAAAAACCTACCCTCCCTTTTTAATTAGGCCTAGCCTAGTAGGGAGTTACCCCAATGTGATGGTTCATTTCTGCCCCTGTCGTTATGGAATAATGTGAACTTGTAGCTACCACGAAGCGCTTCTTTACGGCTGCTAGGTAGTCATGGACCACGCCCATACACAATGCGATGTCTGCATGCGTTCTAGTAGGCTACGCTGCATAACTTCCCATGGGGACATTTTATACGAAGTCATTCATTTGAAAATCAATAAGCACAGGTTTAACATTTTCACAAAGATTACCATCACCACATTGTCGACAGCCCATCACTTATAACTCATTTAAACGATAATACGACATTCACATGACATAGGTAGGGTAAGCAATAATATAATAATACATATAATTATTCTTAATTAATATAATAACCTACAGTAGCTCGACCTCCTACTTAGTATTTGTGAGGTCTCACCACGAAATGAGACGCATCGTTGGTGAAATCATTTTGAGATAATCACCAAAATATTTCAAAGTCAAAATTTTACACAATTTTGATTTTAATGTTTTTGAATAACTTGATATTTATATTTAATGATTGTATACTTTTTAAGTGAATTTTTTTACTAAAACAGTGTTCTCTGCGCATATTCTGTAATTCTAGTCCTATTTTTTGTACAGGTTAGTTTATCTTGGAGGCTGATTTTTGATTTGATTTTTTATTTGATTTATTTTGCATTCAACATCACACACATACAGTAACAATAACATTTTGAGAACGAAAATAAAAAAAGGAGATGAATAATTAATTGAATGCCTGGATGACCCATTAAGTCTAGTGATTGTACACCAGACTTATTTCCAATGGGGTCCAGAAGCCAGGGTAATTATTGCACAAGAGCGAATATTGACAGACAGTGATCTGGCAAGGTTTAGAATATATAGCAAAATATGTAAAATAGGTAAACATAGGCCAATTTAAAATTAAAAATTAAAAAATTGTAAAAGTTAAAATTGAATATTAAAATTACTAATTGAGTAAATATAAAAACTGCATGTAGTAAAGGATAAAAACATGAAACATTAAAAATCAGTAAGTAAAAATGTAGTTCTCCTACACATAATATTTAAATGCTCATATCTCTGGCTCTACATATCTTAGTAAAGCCAACTCAAATTTTTGATATTCTAACCATGAGACTCATTTTGTGGTGAGGCCTCACATTTAGGCTAGTCTATTAGGGCCAGGCCTACACTAGCTAGGTAGAGAGTTAAATTCCGAGAGTGGTTGGGGCAACGGTTGCAGGTTGGGTTCTCAACCTCGACTAGACTGTAAAGTAAGGCCTGCGTGGGGAAAATACCCTCTGCGCAAAAATTTGGCCTGGAAATCCGTCCGCACTCTTCGGAAAATAAAGGCCCGGTTTCCGTACATATTTTGTCGAAAAGTTGGCTTTTACCTAAACTTAAAAGAATTATAACCAATTTATTATGCAGTAATTACAACTACGCATCACATGACCTATGTATATTCCTAGCAATTTTCCACCAAAATTTGAGCTAGTTTTTGAGGTACATTATCATCCACACAACTGAAATATACTTTACAGTATGGAACCTCGAGGTCTTGAATTCTCACTATGCATTTCATTTGTGTGTGCTAAAAATATAACTTGATTTCAGGCCTTCTAACACCAATTTAGGCAACTGTGCTATACACTACTGCTCTCTATTCTGTTTTTTATAAAATGGATGCGTAACTGTATAACATTTGCAAAACCCATTTTAAACAAATTATTAATACAAATTAAACACAGATTATGACTTTATTGATCATGTTCCTTATATTAAAGTAACAGGTAAACCATGTTATTCTCACTCAGTCCATGATTTTGTGCTAATGTATATTACCGGTACTTAATTTCTGAAGCCAAACTCTCTATATTGAAGGCCTACTCAGTGTTTTGAAAGATAAACTGTGGTAAACTATTTCATGCTCCAGAGGGCGGTATATTGTAAATAATGATGCTGATAGAAATATTAACATTGATATTATGTGTTGCAAAATTTTTTATTGTGGAAGTTACCTTTAAAGACGTTTATTTGCCTTGAGGAAAAATGGATAATACATTTGTCTTGAACTTCAATTCTCTACAAATGCCTTCAAGAAGTAAATCGACGTATGTCAAATTACCATATTAAAATATTATGACTTTTCACATGTACTATCAAATGAGCCATCTGTTGTGTATTCTGTTTAGAGGTGATGATTTAAGATTAATTAAATTTGCTGTTACATACAGAATGTCTTTGTATGAGTGGTGTGTCCTCATGAGTATTATGTACAGTAGTACGGTGCAATAAGGTATAAAACAAAGAATTTACTTCAGTGCCCTCTATTTCGACCCAAATAAAACACTAAAGACCGATGTTTTCAATGTGTTGCTGGTTAACTTTATTTCTTCCAATATAACGGTACAAAAGATACCATTTCCATCCAACAGTATGGTATATATGATACGCCGTCTAACAACGTAACAATATACAGTCTAACCAACATCACGATTGAACTACAAAATAGTAACAATAGATAATAAATAACAATAATCATCAATCAATCAATAACTAATCATATTAACGATTAATAAGACTTACGAAATGGCATGCAAGGCCTATATTAAAAATACATGCTAAAGCAATCATCTAAACTTCCAAATTATATTATAATTAAGTTATATTTATATATCATATAATTAAGTCTAGTTACAAGGTGGTGTGCTCGGCTTGGGATCGATAAAACAGATGAATCTTAAAACCGAACCGAAAGATACTTTCGTATGATTCTCTACGCACGCGCGTATAAACCATACGCGCGTTTGCCGTAGCAACAAGAATGCGAAATAATGCAAAAGAAGTAAAAAGGCCATAACATATCCTTTTAGTCTTTTAAAACAAATCAACATTAACCAGTTAACTTTATTTAATTTTCTTTTGCCAGAGCTTTACTGTACTGTAAAAACAAACAAAAAATCATTTCTCTCATATGTGGCAAAGACAAGCCAAACCAGTCACTCGTCGCAATTTTGTGTTTCAGAGATAATGGCCAAAACATGCTGGAATGTCAAAATTTCGGAAATCTATTTTATTTCACTATCTAAACTTTATATATCTATACATCATGCCAGGTTGTTCCTTTCGCCATTTTCAATGTTAAAACAACAATTTGGTGATGATCTCTGCCTGAGAAATGCCTAAAATCATAAACTTCGACAGCTGATTTCTCAAAAATTGTTCTTTAAACAGCTCTGTGTTTAAGTGCTTGTAACTCCATAAAGAAATGTCGGATTTAAGTGATTCTTTTTACCATTTTATTGCTCTAATTTTACTGTTTAATATCTAAATATCAATTTTTCCGACCAGTGACTGGTTTGGCTTGTCTTTACCACATATCATTTATGTTTTCAGAAGAACAAAAAAATCAAAGGGCTATGTGGCAGGAATTCCAATGCAAAAATATTAGCCATCATGGAGCTCTCATCATAGCCAAACAACAAATAAAATTTGACTGCTCAAAATTAGTAATTTTTAAGTATTATTAAAATAAACATTTAATTACACATTGTTATAAAATTGTTAAGATTAAAAGCAAATGAGAGGGTATATTTCAGACAGCATTGCGCCCTCATAGTGACTGCATGAAATCACGTTAGGGTTAGGGACAAACTCAGTGAGAGTTAGGGCGTCCATCAATCAACATCGATGTGCTAATCCTCCAAGGTCACTCACCCATAATTTCATTTATACTGTACCTATATAGCGTATGTACAGTACATTATATTTGCTATTATTATAGTTTGATCTTTAAATACTTTTAATTTACTTTAAACGATTGTTATGATTTCCAGTAAATTAATGTTATTGATGAAACAAAGTATCGGACCTTTAAATTAATACGTTGAGTAAACGAATCATTATTATAATACATTGTTTATAGTACAGAGTTAATAATGTAGTATTTTGGTGTAGTTTATCATATAGAATATCTGATAGGATAGCATTGCCAGTTTATAATAATGATATGGAACGTGTACTGTATGTATGCATTGCTGTGTATTAAGGACAGTGTACAGGTCCAGCACAAATCAAAAGTGCGGGCACATACTGTACCTGCGGTCTGCCTCATACTTCAAGTATTTAGCAGCAAGGAACGATCACAAGCGACGATTGTTATAACCGCAGTACAGTAACACTTTTTTAGATAGAAAATAAAACTCAGGATATTCAGTACATTTATGACTAGTTTATTTATGACAGTACACAAGCTTTCGTGCACACAGTGCACTTCTTCAGGTGTATGTCCTTTTGTCTTAATTGTATGCTTGAATAATTAACTTGCTTAGATCTATCCACCAAGTTTATGTTAACTTCACATTCACCTGAAGAAGTGCACTGTGTGCACGAAAGCTTGTGTACTGTCATAAATAAACTATTCATAAAAGTACTGAATATCCTGAGTTTTATTTTCTATTATACATTAGACTAGTACGGCTTATCTATTTATTTATTTTACTGTTTTAGATAGTTGATACTTTTATCATTGTGTATTATTTAGTTATATTTTCATATAGTTCATGTTGTGATATATACCTGTATTCGGTTAGTTGTAGAATTATTCTTATATTTCGTTAATACTCTGTTAATATTATGTCAGTGTTATGTACGGTGCACTGTAATACCCGATTCACATGTGAAGTTAAATTTAACAAAAAGTAACAAATTGTTACCGAGCGATCTCCCGAGTTATTCCTACTGGGATAAAAAGCAGTCACACGCGTCTGTAAGGTAATGCCAAGGTTTTGTAAAATTTATTCAGTGTTTATTCAATGAACCATTTTTCCCCTACTATGATATAGGTCTAGCCTAAGCCTAGTTGAGAACCCCTGTCACAGATGACTGTTGAACTCACCATCACAGTAAACATTCGAAGCAATCAATACCCTTAACAACTGCTGTACTACTACTACTAAAACTAGGCATAACTTCCAACGTTTCTGTTGACTCTTGTAATACTAGTAATAGTACTAACACCATCCCGACGTTCATTTTATGTATATCTTCTTCTTCTACCATTACTA